CATCCTGCTCCGGATCTGTCTCCGCTGGACCAGGCGGTCCCTGGGCAGAGCTGCTGAGGGGCTGGGGCAGGGAAGGCAGAGGCGCAAGGGGCCTCTCACTGTCTCTGCCACGGCAGGTTCTGCTTCCTCGTCCGGCCGCGGATCAGGACGATGCGGTACATCGCCGGTGAGTGCCGGTGCCCCGGGCAGTTGTCCTGACCCTGGGGTTTTAGTTCCCGCCCCAGGTATTTAGGGTCTTGTGACCCTCACTGGGCAGGAGGAGCTGTGACCATGCAGGGGCCAAGCAGCCTTCACAGACTGCACGTTTTTCATCCGCAGATATTGTCAATACTGACAAGATGTCGGGGAGGAGCAGGAAATACAAGATCATCTTCAGCCCCCAAAAGGTCAGTGTGATCACACTGAGCTGCCAGCGACCCCATCACTCTATGTCTGTTCGGCCTTTGTGTCTTCCCCCCCTTCTACAGACACCAATAGTCCTTCATCTGTACCCCAGAAACATTTAATTAAACCGAGCATTACAATGCCTGGTCCCTCCATCGCCAGGGCTCTGCGTGCTCGGAGCCTGGCTGAGCCCTGAGGGTCTCCTTCTCTTCCAGTTTTACGCTTGTGAGATGGTGCTGGAGGAAGAAGGAGTCTTTGGTGGTGAGCAGCGCTGCGGCGGCTGCCCCTTCCCCTCTCTAAGGGCTGGCTGGTAGTAGCTCTGACCTGCAGAATCCGAGTTGGATTCCTGTGCTGGAATGGGAGTGTGGGCAGGAGCTGTGGTTTCTTTGAGCCTGGCTGCCTGCAGGCACATCCTCACCATGGCATCAGTACCACTGGGAGGGGAGAGGGTCCTGTGTTAATCCCTGTGGCAAAGCTCCATCTCTGCTCCCCACACCCCTGTTTGCGGGGCTGTAGTGACTCAGGGCTGTCTCTGCTGAGGGCTAGGTAACCATCACCTTCCCCTTCCCCAAACCCAGATGTCACCTGTGACGAGTGGTCCTTCTACTTGCTCCCCCTGGATGAGGACATCATCAGTATGGAGCTGCCCGAGTTCTTCCGTGACTACTTCTTGGTCAGTGCGACAATGCTGCCAGGACGCAGTTCTTCCCTCGCTGTCTGTTGGGCTGGGGAAAGGGCAGCTCTGTTCAGAGAGCTGATGAGTGACATCCTGCTTGGTTCTGGGATGGCTTTTGCCAGAGGCAGCTGCTCTGATGGGCTGTGATGCCCCTGCATACATCCCCCGTGCTGGCTCCTCTTTGGGGCACGTTCCTCCTGGAAGCCCAAGCGCAGGGCCCTCTCTGTCCCCAGCCCTCCAGCTGAGTCTCCCAATGCTTCCTTGGTCCCTTCCCCGCCAGCCTGCCCAGAGCTCTCATGGTCCTGCAGGAGGGAGATCACCGCTGGATCAACTCTGTTGCTCGAGCCCTGCAGCTGCTGAACTCCCTGTACGGCCCTTTAGGCAGAGCCTACGGGATCGGCAG